ACGAGGGACTCAATACGAGCATCGGTGCATTGAGAGGCAAAACCATAGCTTTGATTCAAATGCGTCGCGATTTCGACGCTCTTCAGGATCCCGAGTTTTCGAAGAAAACAGAAACAGTTGTTGCTGCTGTGGATCCCCCAAACAATCCCTCGCTTCCCCCCGACTTTTTGCAGAAGTTGAGTGAAACTGTGTTGAGAAGTCACGAGAGAATAGTTCAGTCTCAGAGCGGGGATGTTGTGTTTGAAAACGCTGATGAGGCGATGAAAACGGGAAATGGTTTGCCCCATGAAACACCAGCGAGTCGTCTAGAAGATGGTCCGCATGATTCAAAACTGGAAAAAACACCACCGAAATACGTCACTTCTGTACAGGTCAGTAATTATCCACTCTAGAGTCTTTTCTGAAGAATTGAGAATGAATGGGATGAAGTTGCCTCATATTTTCTTGCGTTTGCTAATGGATTAGTCTGTGTTCCCCAACCTGTGTTCCAGTGTCGGTTCCCAGGAAATTTTCTTCAGCGTAATAAATGTATCAAAAGTAGCAATGAAGTCTGTTATATTTATCTGAAACTCAGGAAAGACAATGGCATTTGAAATTATTTGATGAAAAAGTAAAAGTTGGCTTTTCCCCAAGCAACACCCCAGACAAATTTTCACGTGCTGAAATAAATTATTTCAATTTTTCATCCTCAAACCTTTCATCAAGCCCACCTTTCTCATTTTTGAAGACATTCCACTATAGCTGCTTCATTGGTTCTTAACTTAATTTTTGCAAAAAAGGAAGACATGTTTCAAATACTTGGCATAAAGTCTTCTAAACAAAACATTCTTGAGTCTGCAAAAATTTTATGAAACTTTGGCAGTGATCAGAAAATTTATGGAAATTTGCCTTTCTGTGGGCCCAAACAGGTTGGGGAAACACTGGATTAGTGTATACTAGGTGTGTTGGATTGAGAAGCTCAGATTCGGCTTTGAACCAAGTTCAGTGAAAATCTATTCAAAAACGGGTAAATGTCACGAAAAAAAACATTGGATTAACTGAGTTCATGTGCATCTATTGTCCAGATAGTGAAAGATGAAGAGCCAACAAAGAACCCGCCAGTTGCACCATCAGCCGTAACTCCTCCTGAAGTCAGCCAAGCACTCAAATCTGCCGCAACCAAGGCTCTCGAGAAAACCACCGGTGTTTTCAAGAAAAAGCCCCGCGAAGAACAAATCAAGCCAACCTCATTCAAAACGCCGCCTCCGAAAAAGTACCCGTTGG